GCATAATTAGAGCCACAAATAAATAAAAGACGATGGTTCAGCAGAGATCAAATATCGGTCAGAAATTTAAAATTGTTATGCTCGTAGTCTTCTTACAGCAAAAATACGTTTGTATAATAGCAACTATGAATTTTTACTGTTACGTGCAAGAATGACTGTGGTTGGGTTGAGAAAATGCATTGTGCTTCTCTCCTCCCCCAATTTTTGTTGACTATTTGTACCTTTTTGACAATCCTTTTTTTCATAAATTGCTGGTCCTAAGAGAAAAGAAGAGAAAGCATAAGGAACAATAGAAAAAAAATGAATAATGAAGTTTGTAAGCTATGACAGCTGCTGTTAGATAAATTTGCACTTGGGCTGCAGATGCATCAGTTGGAAGAACTAGAAAATCCCTCACCAAATTTTTTAAGTCCATTCTCAGAGACGAAATTGGCACCGTAAGTGTCTGTTAATTCATATTTTTCTGCTCTGTGGCCATGAACAGCCACCCAACAGTTATTTGTTGCATTCTGGATTAAGGATGCCGAGTATACAGATTTAACGACTGTCTGACCATGGTTTCTTTTTTTGGTTAAACTCTACTTATAAGTGCTCTATTTTTTCTTATTGCTTTGGTTGAATTTTAAAAGCTTCTGACAGATGACTTTATCATAACTGATTGCTAATCGTCTAATAATGTTTAAAAACATTTTTTTTTTTGCTTTGTCAAACATAAAAATGGAATCGTTGAAGCAGTTGCATTTTTTAGTTAACTTTTCAATCTACTGCAAATGTTCTTCGTGTGATAATTTTAAACAAAAATGTTGATACAAAAATAAACTTAATTTTTCTGAACAGCAGTCAGCAATATAACTTTTCAGACAAGAAAATGTTTACGTTTTTGCCACCAGATTTTAGTGACACTAGTTGCAGTTCTAATTAGTTTAGTCTTATAAAGGATTGTTTATTTACCATAAACACTGACCATATATCGTATTAAAAAAAGTGAAAAAAAAGGAACAGTTTTTTTTCAATTGATTAAAATGTTTTGATACTGTACGTCGAAAATGGTGAAAACTGTGGCTTGATTTTTTTCGTCTGCTTTCTCATAAAAAAGAATAAAAGTTTGAAGCTAATCGTAAGAAGGTTTATCTGTGCATGTTTATTAGCCACGTAGAAATTGCTGTTCAAATTTGCTTAGCTGCATAATATTCAAGAGGTTTAGGTAGTAGTTTCACAAGTACTTTTACGGTATCTTCAGTATTTTTTTTTGCAACAGAATTGAGTTACAAAGAATTAGAAAACATAATTCTACTCATTTTTTCCTTTACCCTTACCGAACTTGGCGCTCTGTTCACTCACCATTGATGTAAGAACTTTTTCCAAAAAATAAACATTGACTAAAGATTGTTTCTTCCCTGTGCATGTATAAATTCTTATAGATTAGCTTGAACAATTGACAATCAGTTAGTGACAGAGATTGATGAGTTATTACAGTAAGTAAACTTAGGTGACAATAAAGTATTATTTAAAAAAATGATTTATAGTGTTATACTTATTACCAGCAAGTTAGCAAGCAACTTAAAAACAGTGTTTCTCGTCTTTCCTTCCAATTACCTTATTTTA